TAGGGGTCTTCATAATTAGAATAGGGGGTTTTTGGGGTATATTAGACACTATAAGTATAATAAGGAATTCCCAAAATTGTATAGGCAACTATTTGGGCCCCTGTTTTAGGACCCTAGGAGTCGAACAGGAGAAAACACAACCAGCTAAACAACCAGCTTGTCCTGCCTGTTGCTCTAGAGTGGCGACGGTGGTGCCGTGGCTCGTGCGCTGCCTGCGTTCGTGGAAGTTGATAAGCAGCAAGCACGCAGAATCTTTCTCCGGCAACACTCCCTGCTGCAAAGGGCTTTGTGTCCTTATCCAAACCCGGCGCCTTTCCAGCCGATCTACATCCTCAGATCTCTCTGAGGCTTGCCGTCGTGCTTCTTCTGCCTCCCAGGTCTGGAACACCCGAGGAGTGACTTTCAAGTACTGTACGTCCACATGCGTCCATACCGGCTCTGCATCACCAACACAGCTACAAACATGGAGACCCTTGACATGCACTCGCCTCATCTCACTAGCTTCACAATAATTTTTCGGGAGCTGCGAGAAAGAACCTGTCAAAGCCTACATGCCTTTACACAGAAGCGAGTGCCCCTCTGCCCTTGGAATCCTCTAGACAGGTTTGGGAACGGGCCCAACCCTAAGAGGACGGTCGTAATGGATGCCGCTTGCTCGGTGGTGCATTTGGCTTACCAGGCATGACGCAGTGGTCCTTGTTCACAACTCAGATGAGAGGTCTGGGAAAGTGCGGGTCGCAAGCCCTTCGAGACCCCGATACAGAGCTAGCCAAAGAAAGACTTGTTTGGAACAGCATCGCTTCGGTATGATTAGGCGAGTGGGCCACGAGCTGAAGTTGAGTCATGTGTCACGTCTGTAAGCGCACATCCAACAACATCCATCGCAATCCTACAAACGGCCGAAGTTGTTGACACTTGCATGCGAAGCCACATTCTTGGCAATATGTCTCTGTACTTGCAAGAAGCTGCAGCTGGACCCGGCAATGGCAGTGCAGTGGCGCTCACCTGGCGCCGCAGCTTCGACCTCTCCGCTTCCAAGCGGCCCAACCTTGGGGGTCAAACAAAGAGTCGTCACCATGTTCCGATCAGCTAACACTAGCTGCAAGCGTGTTGGAATCATCGGCCAAGTGCATGAGGCATGAGACGCAGGCCCATGGCTGTCAAGTGAATGTAACTTCGAACGGAGCTCAGCACCATGTCACCCAAGGCCGCGACTTTTCTAGCTGCTCGCGCTGCTCTTCTGCCACACGACGTGCCTGAGCGGTTCCACAGTGACAGCCAAGAGAAACCCGTTTCCAGTCTCGTGCCTGCTGCTGGGAAGACTCCAGCTCGTGCTGCAGGGCTTCAGCCTCCTCTCTCGCTTCGTCCCGTTCCTTCTGGAGCCTCTGCACTTCGACTTCTCGCTCCTTCCAAGCTGCGTGCAACCTCTCTTGTCGGAGCGCCATCTCCTGTAATTCAAGCTGATGCCCCTCAAGAGCCGCCCTGTCGGCATCTTTGTCCGCATGTAGGTCTTCCAGCTCCCGCTGAAGAGCTTCGCAGCGATCCTCGTGCTCCTGCCCGATGTGTAGAACTCGAGCGGCCTCCTGTGCTTTGCCTTCCAAGGCTTCCTGCAGACGCGCAACTTCGCTTTCCAGTTCCTGTGCTTTGGACTGCGCCTGCTTTAACTCACCGCAGAGTCTGGCAGTTTCCTCCTGACCTCTTGCAGCCCGAGCCTCAGCGCGCTTCGTCGCGCTCTCGAGCTCAGTCACTTTCAAACTCTGCGCAAAGTGCTCTTGGGCTTTCTGAAGGGAATCTGCTTTTAATTGCTGCACTTGGGAGTGCGCATCCTCAAAAGCATCCTTTTGAGATTTTAAACGCTGCTCCGCGTCGGCAAGCTGGCGCTCAAGCCTCGTGCAGCGGGACTCGGCATCACGGCAGCGCACCTGCTCTTCGGCCAAGTCCACTTTGGCGGCGGCCAGCTCATTTTCACAAGCAACAACCTGATCCTGCAGCCTTGTGCGCTTCTGGCGCTCTCCCTCCACATCACTGTGAAGTCGTTCGATCGTATCCCTGCATCTCAGGAGCACGGCATCGCTCGTCGTGCGCGGGGACGAAGTCTGAGAGTCGTCGCCCTCGCTTGCACCCCTCCGCGACAGGGAGATGGACGATGGCCGCCGCCTCCTCGGGCTACGGCTGCCGCTCAGAGCACCGAAGCGTTCTGGCAGTACGACATTTCTTTGACGAACCGGGGAAGCCATTCTCAACGCATGGACTTGTGTCACTCGTATCTCGCGCTGCTGTGCCACCTAGCTCGGAGAGGTGTCTTCACGGGTCATGGTTTTTCCTTCAGACTGCTCGGAAACACTCTAACTTGAATCCTCTGACTGGAAACACTTACAAGACCGGGACTCTGCACAAGCAAACTCATGCGGTACGATCAGGCAAAGCTCCTCGAATCTATGCATACAACGTGGAAGTGCTTCGTAATGCTTTCGGCTTCTTGTCTGGTGCGCTTCTTCGGCTTCGCGACTCGCGCGCGACTGGTCATTTGTTTCAACCGGTCGGGCACAGACTGTTGCAATGTACAAAGACACGAAGCCAGGCGAGCTGCAGGAAAGTGGTCGACGATGCAATCTTGAGACTTGACTGGTGCACAAACTGGACTCAGACGATAATGTAGGGGCCTTATTCATTAGAATAGGGCTTTGGAGGTTCCTTATTACAAGTATAGGTACAATATACCCCCAAACCCTACTCTTATGCGCCATCGGCGTCGTGTCGCTCTGCTGTATGGCCTCTTGCACTCAGTCGATGGACTCGCTGAAGAAGGCAGAAACCACTTCCAAGTTGTAGGACTGGCAGCTGGTCCGTGCATGGGTACGGCATCGCATGCGCCCTAACAACCCAATTACTTGCAAGTATTAATGTAGGGGCCTTAATAAATAGAATAGGGTTTTGGGTATGTTCTGTTTTAATAGTTATAGTTCATATACCCCCAGTTCTGTTGTCATGCTCTCATTGCCCTCCAGACACCCGCTTTATGCACTGAGCGACCGGATCGTAAGGCCGGAGTGTGAAAGAAACAACGTGGCGCAGGCCTCCAAGAGTCGCTGCAAGTCCTACAGAAATCCCAAAAGGGTGGCCGAGGGCAACTCTGGAGCTGAATTATTCGCGAGTCCTTGATCCTGTGCTCCACGCTTTGGTAGCCACGAAGTCGCCATTTATGCCTGTAAGCCTCGGAGGCTTCACGAAGAGAGCTGCCGTAGAGTGAAGTGCAGATATTAGGGCTTCCGCAGATATGACGATGCTATGTAGGAAGGCCAGCTTTTGCGGCTGAAGCTGGAACCTGCGCCGCCGAACAGCAAACAGCAAACAGCAAACGGCCCTGCCTCTGCGTCGTACACAACAATCCATGTGGGCAGCTCTCTAAACTAGGGTCCCTTTTGGGGTCCTCTTTTTAAGGGTGCCGTACTATATTTGGGGACCTAAAAAAAGGGGACCCTAATTTGGGAGTTTCCGAAAATAGGGGACCCTGATATAGGACCCTAAATAGTAGGATCCTTATTATAAGGACCCCAAAATAAGGTACCCTAGTTTTCGGAAACCCCCATTTAGAGAACGACCCCCATGGTAGGAAGAGTCCCCGCCCCTAAACGCTAAACCCTAAACCCTAAACCCTAAACCCTCAACCCTAAACCCTAAACCCTAAACCCTAAACCCTAGGAAGAGTCCCCTCTGCCCCTCTCCGTAAGGCGCCGGGCTGTTGCCCCCTAAAAAAGGGGGACCCTCTAATTCAGAGAACGACCCCCCTAAACCCTAAACCCTAAACCCCACCCCCATGGTAGAAAGAGTCCCCTCCCCTCTCTCTCTCTCTTTTTAAGGCGCCGGGCTGTTGCTGGATTTCAGCTGCTTGCTCCAGCACCGACTGCCTCGGTGCTTCTAAAACAGGGAATGGTAGGTAGGGTTTAGGGTTTAGGGTTTAGGGTTTAGGGTTTAGGGTTTAGGGTTTAGGGTTTAGGGTTTAGGGTTTAGGGTTTAGGGTTCTCCGCCTCCTCTCCGGAAAGAGAGAGCCTTCTTGCAAAAGCCGCGGCTTGAAACCACGTAGGTAGGGGCGAGACAATTCTGGATGAAGGAACTTGGTTTCGCCCTCCTGGAGCTGCACCTGCCATCTGCGAAGGATTCTGCTGGCAAAACTTGGCACGAGATTTAATAGCTTCGCTGAATCGTTCTGGTATGTTCTGGCCGGAGCTTTCTACCATGCTCGAAGCAAGCTCAGCTGCGGTTATGATCGCTGCGCTGCGCTTGCACCATTTCGAGGAGTGCTGCTGTGAAGTAAGTAGTGCATCTTCGCGCCTGAACGTAAGAACCTACACCTTGCAGGAGCAGCGTGTCTTCTGACTGGATTCATCTGACGTACAACTGTAGTCTTGGAGTCTGTGATGGATGAGTGATGGATGCGTGGTTTCTTGATGATGTTGAGAAGTCCCAGACTGGCACTAAAAACCTACTGCAGTTGATCAGGGGCGGTTCCAGAACAGCTCAACTCCATTCCAGTTGCCATTTTCTGATGCCGTACTGCCGATGACCACGTGTCGCCTGTTGTGGTCGTGCGAAGACCTGGTTGGTAAAACGAAACCCCCCGGGTCAAAGGATTGTTCACTAGAAATGACTCATGCCACCCCTCGTCTGCCATGCATAGGGCCAGAGTTGATCTTGAATGACCCTCGTGCCTGCAAGCTGCGGCAGCACGCACCCAAGCAAGCACCGCAAAGCACAGCAAAGCAAAGAAGCTAGCAGCTAGCAAGCATTTTGGTCAACGAAGGGCAAGCTTTCGATCTACCCTGCTCTCGCGACTTACCTGCCGAACCACTGGTGAAATTGAATGAGCATGCATGCTGGTGCAGCCTGTGCGCAACAGGTGCTGCTGAAAGACCGAGAGACATCAATTTGCAACGGTACAAAGTTACAGATCGAAAGAGCTTCTTGTAATCGACAGACTTCTGCGCCTCTCGCAGCGGCTCAACCTTGGAATCTCTCAAAGCGTTTGGAAACAGCTTTGTCTAACTTCAGAATGCTGAGAAGCAAGCCATGCGCACTTGTTGCGTCAAGGCCTTACTGCCGCAACGACTGACGAGCTATTACAACCCATGGCTTTGCTCGGCGATGGGCTCCACTAAGGAGCATCAAACATCCTATCGTGACGCTGGTCACACTCAGAGCCCGTCGTGCTGATAATTCAACTTCGGGTGCACCCTGAGCTCTACGTTTCAAACAAGCAGCGCATGACCACGGCAACATGTTCATTGGACGATAAAGTTCGGTGCGCTCGAGGTCTGGGCAGTTCCAAAAATCTGCCAAACGTTTCCTCCTTCACGTCCACATTCATGGAGACCTGCAGCCACGAAACTTTTCGCACTGCTATGAGCACTCGAAACCTCATCCTACACGCAGCAGCAGCGCTTGGCATCTCATGAATGCGGGTGGTGGAAAGTGTCACCACGACGAGAAGGTTCGACGGAACCAAAGCAGACAACGGGTTCGGAGGGGCATGTCCAACTCAGAACAACAAACATCACCCAAGCACCGGCATCTCGCAAAAGTGTGGGGAAACCACCTGCCTGAACCTTCTTTGCTGTGGCCTCCTTCGTAATGATATCCTGCAGCAATCGCATAATCGTGCCCCCATATCACAGCATCGTGGGCAACATAGGGAAATTCTGGTCCTTCAAGACTCCGATGGTGGTGATCGAATCCGATCTTGGCAAAGCGTGCACATTTTCCGCATTCCAGCCGGTCCGTTGGCGTGGTGTCGAACGAACGCCAGCCTGAAGATTGCTGTGCCCTTGGAATACCTGGGGTGCATGACAAGCCCATCATGCAAAGTCAGGAACCATGCCACAGCATCGGTGGAGCTGCCTCCCATAGAGCTGAGTGCCAACAAAGGTGCTCCTGCACATATCACCGTTGTATGTGTTTCGGGTGCAGGACGCAAAAGTGCTGCAGTCCTGTAGCTGATCACCATTTCATCATCTGTTGGTCGCGACGGAAGTTCATTAACACCTGGTTCAGGGATCAGCTTCTTCAACTGAAATCCTGGCCACGCTGTATCATGCAGCTGCAGCTGTCATAGACAAGTACAGTAGTTGAAAGCACTCAGCTTCCGGCAAAGAGCGAGCCATGAGTGCATGTCCGTCACGGAAAAAGGCCCAGTCAGGCGCAGCTCGTCTTAGGAAGCTTTTGGGAGTTTCCGGGAATATTTGGGGGTCCTTATAATAAGGATCCTACTATTTAGGGTACTATATTAGGGTCCCCTATTTTCGGAAACCCCCATTTTGGTAGGCAAGAGAACTGAAACTTAATCTGCTGCTCACAAGTGCTAAGCCTGGCGCTCATTGGAATGTCCGCGGAAGCTTCGGCAATCTGCAGTGCACATACGTTGCTTCATGTGTGTTTTGTTCGGGTTTTTGTCTGCTTCTCTGTTCAGATATGCATGGTCCGAGTCTTTTATCTTCTCCCCTCTAGTCTAGGCAGGTTCGCTTCTTCCTTTATCCACTTCTATCTGAATCTCTAGATGTTGAGATACCACATACTCTCAGCGCATGGCTACACCAGAGCATGCATCCATGATCCGGCAAGTTGGGCAAACCGCAGCCTTCTCATGCAAAGCCAAAGGCTTGATGGACACGCTGATGAGATGTGCCTTGTGCCAGGGAGCAAGATGGCTCGTGGATTTGGTTTTTTCCAGCTCAAGTGGGCAAAGCCGGTGTAAGTGTGCTTTAAATGCACACCGATCCCTGAAAACTGAACCCCCAGGGCGTGGCCGTCTTGGGCTGCGTGGCGGGAACCTCACAGGGTGTCCGCTCCCAAAGAAAAGAAGACAGCAGAGGCCCGACAACAGGCGCAAAGGAGTCTGAGTGCCAAGTAGGGATTTGGCCACGAAGGCCGACAGTGTTCCTGGCTTTCGAAGCTCTACCCAACCGGAAATGCACGGGCCTTAATACTTAGAATAGGGTTCGGGGGCCCATCATACTATAATTATAAGAAGGAACCCCCAAAATAATATAGGCAATTCCTTAGGTGAGCAAAGAGCTCTAAGGATGTCTCTGCATGGAACAGCTTCCCTCAAGCAACGAGGGGGGCGCACCACTGAGACCTTCAATGGTCCGCAAGCGTATCTGGAAGCGAGTGCCTGGTCTGCTAATGGGGTCTTACTGGCAGAAACCCAGAGACTCCAATACCCCTTAATTAAGGAATTTGTCCTTAAATCATATTAGGGATCCTACTATAATTTAAGGTCTATTCCTTAATTAAGGGATATTGGAGTCTCTGGGAACAGTTTGTCACAGCGTCTCTGGCGCCTTCTTCCTGCATTCGGTACGTCCTGACTCGTGCTCGCCAGCACTCCAACATCAGGCTTGGGCCTTCTGCGTCTTCTAGTTTTGAGTAGGAGGCGCTAACAGTGGATTCTGCGGGTCGCCCTGTCAGGAGCGGAGACTGAGATCTAGACAGCTTCCATCTGCAAAAAAGCGAGCCTTGGATCGCGAAAGAATCGCCCCAGTGCCAGAATGATCAAGCAAGTCCTGGTCGGCTCCATTTGGCGCCACTTCTCAATCTTTCGACAATGGCGATCAGCGAGTATGATGGAGCCCTGCAGCTAGAAGGCCACAGCTTGAAGCCTCTAGCAAATGCTGTGAGCTGCTTGCGAAGCTTGACGTAGCTTGACGTCTTGATCCAGTTTGGAGTCCCTGGCCGCAAAATCACAGGCCTCTGAAAATCCGCAGCAAGGGCCTCCCCTGCCAAACTGATCCTCAAGAACTGAACTCGAAAAGCCTCGCCAGCTTGCCCAGTGCACCACAACCATCCACAACCTGTCGGGCCTTCCCCAGGACCATGCAGACACTGTTCCCCCAAACTTGGCTCCACGAGCTCCCACAATCCACGATTCCAGATTACATGAATTCTTGCAACCAGTCGAGCGTTGGCGGTGCTACCAAATTTGCTCTGCTTCATGGAATTATCTTGAACTGCTTGCTGGCCTGCCGCTCCGAAAAAAGTTGAACAAAGTCAGCGGACTGCCTCTGCCCCACCGTATCCCAAAAGCATGAATCGGAAGTCTTGGACCGTTCTGATGAAGCACCCAGATTAAGCCGAGCTAAGATGAGTCCGCGGTCCACTTCAACGTCAGCCCGAAGGGAGATCAGCTCAATCGCAGCCTGCGACTCCACCTTACGAGCCACGATGTTCTACTGGTCGTACGTACATGTCTCATGTATGTGCATACACATACTTATAGCAGGTTCTTAGACACTCCAACATGTGTTTGCGATTCTGAATGCCCAGCATACGGGCAAGAATCACATTCAACGGGATGTCCTTTTCTTTCTCTGCAATTGGCACTCGCTCTCTTTTGTTCTTTTGCTGACTCTTCCTCCCTCTCTCTGTCCCTGTCCCTCTCTCTGTCACTGTTCCCACTATGCTCTTCCAGGATATGAATAGAAAACGAAGGACATCTGTGTAACCAATTCGGATCGGGTGGCTGTGTACACGACGATGACCTTATCCTTGCATAAACAGAAAATTGAGTGAACATGCATTTAGAATCGTTTGTAAATCCCAGTTCGAGAAATAAACGAATTGTTGATTTCATGATATTTCACAAATTCGCAAATTCACAGATCCGCAGACTCACAGATTCACAGATTACAGAAATTTGCGAATCGGCGCAGATTTGCTGGTTCTCAAAACCCTCCGATCCGGCATTTGGCCGATCTGCGAATCTGTGAGTCTGCGATTATGATTAGGCAAATCTGAGGCGTGTTTTTTTTGTAAGGGGGGCGGGGGGGGGGGGGGGG